ACCCCTTGCTCCCAACCCACAGCCCCCTGACCTGCCGGTGCCTCTGACTCCCAACCTGCAGCCCCCCCAGCCCTGCTGAGACCCCTCACTCCCAACCCATAGCCCCACACCCCCCCATCGAAGCGGCCCAGCCACTGCACGAGGAAGGTGGCCCAGCCCACATGCAGCCCATCCCTCAGCTATCTCCCCACTGCACCCCAACCTTGTCTGCTCCCAGCGACCCCCAAAAGTGCTACAAGAAAAAAGCCATAGAGAGGTGGCAGGGGGGCCTGGCCTGCCCCACAGGCAGCCCTCCAGCTCGCAGCTACCTTCTCCTCCCATCATGCCTGGCATTTACCTGCGGAGGGTGCAGCAGGAGCCCCGGTTCTAGACGGTGAGATGTGCAGGGGGCGCAGGACCGTGCGCTACAGCTGAGCCCAGCCATGGGGCGGGGGGAGCAGCACGGTGGGAGGCAACTGGCACATAAGGGGATTGTAGGGCAAGGGGGGCGGTGTGTGCCCGTGGGCCCTGGGACAGGAGGGGTGTCCCTCCCAGCAGCTGCTTGGCTTTCTGCCTCCGCATGTACATGTGAAACTAAAGTTGCTTCCTTATTCCCATTCCTTTTGGAAAGGTTGAGCACTGGGCCCTGTGCGTGGGCAATGGCGACGTCAGTCATATGACGCTCAGTAAGGGCCATGCCTCAGGCTTCTGCCCACAGGACCGGCCGGGATACCCCCATAGCCCTGCGGCTCCTGCCCAGTTCAGACTGTAATGTCACTCTCCCTAGATTACTTGCCTGTCGCACCTTGATCTTAATATTAAAGGTTGATTAAGGGAGGCCTGAGAGTGAGCCCTAATCCTAATAATTTCCCATGGGGTCTCTTGTGAGCCCCCACTAGCCTCCATACAGCCCTCAGGCCTGGCAGATCCCTCTGCGGCCTTAAGGGCAAATTGCACAGCTGAGCTAGGTGAGGGTCTCCTGGGTGAGGACCCGCAGCCAGCATGGGGAGCTGTGTTCACCGTGCTCCCTCACTGCCTGCCAGATGGGAGCAGAGGATTGAGCAACTTTGGGTTCATTGGCCGGGCCGTGGTGAAGAAGGCACAGGCCAGCTCACCCCAAACTGAGATCAGGGGGTGCCGGACACTGTACAGACCCCTGCCGGCCAGAATTAGGGTTGCTGTACAGACCCCCAGCCAGGAGATCAGGGGGCGCCGGGCACTGTACAGACCCCCCAGGCCAAGACTGGGGCCCTGCCATGTCGGGCACTGCCCACGTAAATAAAGATCTCAAACAGGTCCTAGGGGCTGCAGTAGGAAAAGGCCCAGATCAGGCCCCTGCTCCCCAAACTCTCTCATCACCCCCTGTCCCCTCCTTAACCCCCCACCAAGCACCCTACACCCCCAAATCTCACCAGGACCCCCAGTTCCTCCTACCCCAAGGATGGAAGACCCCAGTTCCCCCCTCCCCAATGACACAGTGGCACACAGTAATGCCCTGCCTCCTCCTAGCCCCCACTGCCCACCCAAAGCCCCTGCCCAAGACAGCTCCTGTCTTGGGGGGTCACCCCTTCCCTGTCCCCAAGCCCCTCTGCCCCACACTCACCATCCCCCAGCTATCTCCCCACTACCCCCAGCATTTTCTGCCCCGGCGACCCCCAAGCCCTGTCCCTCCCAGCTCAGCTTGGCCCCAGGAGAGTGCTCAGGACTCAGCCCCGTGCACCCTGGCCCAAGTCGTGGCTGCTCTGAGCTGCTCCGGCCCCTTTCCTGGTCACCACAAGCTGCCGACGGCCCTGCGAAAGGGCTAGAAGAAAGTCCCAGCTGAGCGGTGGGGAGACACACCCCACACCGGCTGTCACACATTTCTGTGCCAGCTTCTTCCTTCTGGGCAGCTGTAGACACGGCTCCTTCGGCCACGCTGGCAGGGATCCCAGGAGGGGCCCCGACGGATCGGTCCAGCTGCAGGACAGCTCAGCGGCCCCGACCCCCCGCGCCGAGACCAGGGCTGGGGCAGCGGGACGGGCCTGGCCCCGATTCTAGATGGTGAGAGGGGTGGGGGCCTGGGGCCGTGCATTGAACTCAGCTCAGCTGCCGTGGGCAGGGCCCAGGCACAGGGCTGGGGGCAGCACTGGGGTGAGGGTTTGTGGGGCAGGGTGTGGGGGGCATGTGGCATGCCCTTGGGGGCTCCTTGGCTTCCTGCCCCTTCCCCCAGAGCACCACCCTGGGTCATTCAAGGGAGCTGCTGGGGTGGGGGGGTGGGGTGCTGGTGGGCCATCGGCAGGGGGACTTAGGGGCTCAGAGGGAATGGGCACGGGGGTCCTGGGAGGGGTGAGGAGGGTCCTGAACCCCTCTCCCCCTGGCTTCTCTCCCACAGCCAGACCCCGGGGATCTGATCCAGATTTTCGGCCCCTTGTTTGAGCACTGGGCCCTGTACGTGGGTGACGGCTACGTTGTCCACCTGTCGCCGCTCGGTAATGCCTGGGCCTGAGGTGGGGGGGCAGGGGGCATCTGAGCCAGGGGGGCAGCACCTTGGGGTGGGCTCCGGTGTACCCCCCCATAGGTGTCTTTGATGTGGCATGGGGCCACGGGCTTCAGCCCATCACGAAGTATGAGCCTCCCATGTAGATGGCCAGCTTGGTCAGGAGCTCTGCCCCCACAGGTGGCTGTGCTGCAGGGGCTGGGGGCACAAATGCACCCCCGGGCATGGTGGGGGGGGGGCAACGGCTGCAGCTGGGCATCCCGACACCCTTGGTGGAAGCATCAGCCCGGCCTCCTGTCCTCAGGGCACACAAGGGACCCCAAGTGTGCGTTTGCCTGCAGGCGCACATGCATTCATGTGTGTGCGTAGAAAGGCACGTGGGTCTGTCTGCGTGTACACGGGCACATGCGTGAATCCCCCCTCGGGGGGTCACATCTAGTCCAGCCCCCTGCTCCAAGCAGGACCAGCCCCAGCTAGATCATCCCAGCCAAGGCTTTGTCTAGTCAGGTCTTCAAAACCCCCAAGGATGGAGATTGCACCACCTCTCTGGGTATCCTGTCCCAGTGCTTCACCACCCTCCTAGCGAGAAAGTTCTTCCTAAAATCCAACCTCAACTCCCCTTGCTGCAGCCTGAGCCCATTGCTCCTTGTGCTGTCGTCTCCCCACACTGAGAACAGCCCAGCTCCAGCCTCTTTGCAACTCCCTGCAGGGAGGTTAAGGCTGCTGTTCAATCCCCCCGTCTTCTCTTCTGCAGATTAAATCAGCCCATTTCCCCCAGCCTCTCCTCACATGTCCTGTCCCCCAGCCCCTCAACCACTTTTGTCACCCTCCGCTGGACTCTCTCCAACGTGTCCTCATCCTTTCTGTAGTGGGGGGCCAACAGCTGGACACAGCACTCCAGATGTGGCCTCCCCAGTGCCGAATAGAGGGGAAGAATCACTGCCCTCGATCTGCTGGCAGCGCTCCTGCCAATGCAGCCCAGGATGCCGGTATCCTTCTAGGCAACACGGGCGCACTGCTGGCTCATATTCAGCTTATTGCCCACTCTCCCCCCAGGTCCTTTTCTGCAGAGCTGCTGCCCAGCCAGTCACCCCCGCCTGTCCCGGTGCAGGGGATTGCTCCCTCCTCAGTGCAGGACTTTGCACTTGTCCTTGTTGAGCCTCCGGAGATGTACATTTAACTGTAATGACTATAGGACTAATGACACAGCCTTTTTTGCCCATTTTGCCTTATATTGCGTTTTTTTAAAAACACAATATCTCATCTAGCAGACGAGGGCACGTTCCAAAAACGTTCAACTTGTTTCTCACTTTGATCTCACACTGAGCACGACAGTGCTGGGCCCTTTGATCTTACACCGAGCCCTACCCCTGGCCTGTTAGCAATGCTTCTGACTTTTCTGTAACTGGAGAAAAACGTGCGTCGTGTTCATATGCAGCGACGCATCCATGCGCACGGCCCCTTCCAAGCTCCTCGCTCCGCCCACGTCCACTCAGGTGTGGAAATAGGTTTCAGGGACGCATCGGGGGTGCGGTCGCGCTGCTTCCAGAGCCGGGGTTTAAGTTTACGTGGCTGAAAGAAAGGTACGTTTAATTGGAACGAGGACAGAAACCCCATCTGCCCTCAGATAATCTTGGGATCATTTCTGGCCCCGTTTCCCATTTCATGAGCATACAGGTGTGACGTAGCTGCTGGACGCAGGTGTCGTCTTGGTCCCGGGGTGGATTTTAAAGGGAACAGCAGGTCCCAAGTGTATTAGTAAAGTTTCTAGTTATTTTTTAGCTGAAGAAAAAAGCGCAGGGTTTGATGTGAGGATGCCCCAGCCCAGCTGCACCCCTGTCTCGTGATCCTAGATGTGCCCACGTGCGTGCGGGCACCGCTGGGTGAGGGTCCACGGGCAGCACGGGGGGTTCATTGCGCTTCCTCACTCCCCGCCAGAGGACAGCGGATGGCTCAGCTCCTCCCGGCTCACGTCGGGCTCGGCAGGCTGGGCCGTGGTGAAGAAGCAGCGCCTCTGCGACGTGGTCAGGGGTGACAGGTACCGCGTGAACAACAAGGACGACCGGAGGCGCAGCCCGCGGCCCGTGGGCGAGATCCTGGCTGAGGCGGAGGCCGAGGTGGGCAAGAAGCTGTGGTACAGCCTCCTCTTCCAGAACTGCGAGCACTTCGTCACCAAGCTGCGCTACGGCCGGCGCGTCAGCCACCAGGTGCATGCTGGCCCTCCTGTGGCCGGGTGTGGGGCTGCAGGCGCTGCCGGCTCACTCCGGGGTGTGGCGTTGGGGGCTCGGGCAGGGCCGGGCGGCCCCGACAGCAGGTAACCGGCTCCTTGCTGTGCCGCAGGTGCGGGACGCGGTGACCTCCGTGGCGCTCACGCTGCTGATCTTCGTCTCACCGTACTTGTTCCTGGCGGCGGCAGCCGCCCGCGTGAGCTACGTGCTGCAGCGGGAGTCCTAACAGCCCCCAGCCTGGCGGGACAAAGGTCAGCCGGGCCCGGGGCCGCGTGTGCCCAGTAGCACGTGCCTGTGCTTGCTTCTTGCACCAATAAACCGCTTGGCCCTGCACAGGATGCGACCTCATTCTGGATGGGGGTGGAGGGTGCAAGGGGGAGGCGGAGGAGGGATCAATGCTGAGCGCCCAGGCCCATCTCCCTGCTCTCGCCCCCAGCAGGAGGGATCCCAGCCCCCCACACCCCAGGCCACGCAGGGGGCCAGGCCGGGTGGGGGCCCGGGATGGGGGTGGGGCGGAAGGGGGGGCACTGACACCCCAGGGCCCGGGCTCAGCCCCTCCGTGGCCTCCCCCTCGCAAAGCCCCTTTCACCCCCCAGCACCAAGCCAAATGAGGTGCGCAAAGCATCATGGGAAATATAGC